CAGATGTGTGTTCTAGAAAGAGACCCAAGGCAGTGGAGAGGACAGACTGGAAATAAAAAGCCTGTGGCCTGGAGGCCATTTCATTTCATATGAAATGAGAGGCAGGGGATTGTCACCATACCTAACAGAGGGGAAGGCTCAGAGGAGTGACTTAGGGGACGGCCACACAGCTGGAAAGTGGCCGGGCCAGACTGGTGAGACTCCAAAGCAGTGCCCTGGACTTTCCTGGGCTTTTAAAACCCACGGGGCTGGAGGGAGGGTCATGGAAAGCTGGGTTTTCAGGACTTACAACAGCTTATCTCTTACGTACAATTTGACTTTGGTAAAGAAAAGTTCCACAAATCCATGGCTTTTCTCTAGTGAGGACTTCTTCATAGGAAACACCAGAAAGATGTTGCTGTCCACCCCGCCGCCAACCCACCTCTCTCACCTTTTGTTTCACTCTCCAGGAATTGGTCGCTAACTCCTGGAATCCACGGCCCCGCCTCGGCTGGTGTGGCAAGTCTCCTGTAAGGGCCAGGATCACTCCAGCCCACTACCCCACCTCCACCCCTCAGACGCTTAGGTGCTGATATCATTTAGGGCGGAGTTTCGTTCCCGTCCACTTGATGGCTGGACCACCGGACGGGAGCTCTCCCTCTTCGAGGCAGAAGCAACGGAGAAGTCAGCCAACCGTGCCGGAGCACAGTGGAGACAAATGTTCCAGAAGGCTGCATGTCCCATTCTTGTCCCCTGGGCTTGTTGGATTGGTGTCACATGAGAGGCTGGCCCTTGGGATTTGTTCCTACCCGGCGATGCCCGGAGCATTTATAAACTGTTTCATTCCCGTGAAGCAGTCAGGCAGACGGGAAGTGACCTTCTTTATCCTCTTCTCTTGACAAGAGTCCACCGTGGATCCTGTTCCTACTGTCGAAATCCACCAGCATTTCCTGCTGCAGCAGTGCACTCTCGACAGCAAAAAGAGGCAGGCAAGCGTTTCCAGGCTAAGGGGTTTGAAGGTTTTCCGAGGCCAGCCTCCCGGCCAGGCAGAAGCAATGGCAGGGAGCAGGAGAGGTCCGCAGGCTCCAGCAGCAGGCAGGGCTGGCGAGCCTGGGGCCTGCAGGCTCCATGGTGGGGACAGTTTGCAGGGCACAGACCAGGCCATACACAGAGGTCATAAAACAAAATTTATCTTTAATTTGTAAGTGTCAACAGCAGTACAAAAGATGGAGTGATGACGACTAGATTAAGGGTAGAGAGGACAGTCTTGAGGTAAATGAGCATAAATAGGCAGTTCTTACAGACACCCCCCTGAGGGGCCTAGACCCCGTCATGGCATGGCATATACATTATCACCCAAAGATGGCATATTTAACATATCAGGAAAGCACCTTGTGCAAAAAAGGAAAAAAAAAAGTAGCTAAGGTGCCAACACACACCAGGATAGGTAAAGACAGTGTGTCTTTCAATTTTTTTCTTTTCCCTTAATTATGAGGCAGAGAAGGGGAAGACTTTGAAAAGTACCACTGAAAGATTAGTCAATGTTGAGTTTTATCTCACATCAATACTGCACAACAAAATAAAAAAAGTTTGTGTATGCAACAGAACTAAGAACAATGATGCATTCCTTTACATCTGAAGAGATTCCTTTCCCCCCCCCCCCCATTTCCTTAATCCTTAGCAAACTTTTTTTCCCATTTTCAAGAGGAGAGTGTGAGAAAGATGTGATGGCAACCCTTAAGGTCATTTAAAAACTTTACACTGGACTGTACAAGATTTTTTTTTGATAAACTATTTACATTTTCAGACTTTCAAACATATTCAAAGCAGCAATAGACACTAGTTTTTATGGTTTTTGTTTTTTCTAATTGCCCAAATAGTTACCAGCCATGGGCCAAGTAGGTACCTGCGTTATACATAGAATTTCTACAAAGAAAATCTGCAGTTAAAGTTTGCTCCAGGGTGTAGTAAATACCCTTAGCATCTCCAGGGCCACACCCGCAGTGTTGCTAGAGGGACCAAAGCACAGTACCTTGGCAACCGAGCTGCAGTTGTCCCAACAGCCCTATACAAACTTTACACTTTGAAACAGCAGCCAGCATGTCAGTCCAGCATGTCAGTGAATTGTGCTGATTAAATTAACATAGAATACAATCTCACAATATACATCACAAACAAAGTACAATGTCAGGGGGGAAAAAAAGAATTACAGTAAGATAAGTTATGTAGTAACAGCTTATAAGCTTGTCTAAGGTAATAAAAATCTTACATGGCAAATACAATAATGAAGGAACATAAATGCTAAGCATTCTAATATGCTACAAGCTGAAGAAGGTACAAGACTGCACTTTCAAAAAAGCAAAAACACACATGACAAAGGAAGACAAAGGGAGAATGCACATGAGCAGATGCACAATGTGCAGCGTACAAAAAAGTTAAATATTTGCACGTTCCCCAGACTCCAAGAGCACCAGCACTGAGGCCTCGCTTTACGCTGTGGTTCTTCAGGAATAAGAAACTACCAAGCAAGACTTGTCACCGCGTTGCCTTCAAGCATTCAGATTGCCACGGACACCAATCAGAAGAGTGTCTGCATTAAGCCTTACCTTTCTGCCCACTCCCCCACCTACCTCTTGCCCTGCCCCAAAGGTACCAGCATTCTAAATACTTGTTAATGAACTTTGGGAAAGCCATCAGTCCCCAAAGGAGAAGATGGGATGAGGATGAAAGGAAATGTGTTTGCGTGTCAGTATTTTCAATGGTAGTAGCAGAGGGTCACGCTCAACAGTATATGGCATCAGAAACAGAACATAATCGGCAGGAATAACAGATAGAAGTTGTTTATTAAAGAAGAAAACATGTCAGGGGGCAGACGACTTAAGGAAATGATGCAAGTGCTTCTGTGAAAGGACAAATGAGGTCATACAATTTTATACTCTGAGAAGTGAGCTTAAGTGCCAACTCAGTCCTTAGACAAACGGATACAAAGTCAGGCAAGGCTACAGCAACCCTTTTTGTTATTTTCTCATTATAAAAGAAAACCCAGTAATCATTTCAATACATTCTTCTAGCTGCATAAGAACTACAGCTATTGGTACTTCATACAGACTTCTCAGAGGGTTTAAAACTACTGACTCTGTTTCCTTTTCCCAAATGAGTAGGTAGAGGTCACCTTTTTGCAAAATGAGGAAATTGAGAAAAAGCAGCCTGAGCTGTGGTGTTCAAGTGACCAGGCCACCTTCCTACCGGGGCAGACGGGCTTCCTGGAAACAATCCCTGCTTTCAGCTAGCGCCTGAGCTCCTGGCTTGGGAGGGTGAGCTCTGAAGAAGCAGCCTGGCTTCATAAGGAAAAGAAAGAAGCCTTTAATTTCAGCCCTAGAGTGATCACACCCTTTTCAAACACTCCAGGCTCCAGTGGGGCTCATGTTCAGAGGAGGCCAGAATTTGACAAACTCAATAGCACTGTGAGCCCACACCTGAATTTAGAACTTGGCCTGGGAGTGTCAGGACCCTGGCAAATCAATCAGGCCTGAGGACAAGGCTGGGGAGGGTCAAATACCAAACAAAGCAAACTGATGTGCTCCTAAAGACTGAGCTGAATATACATGAAAACACAGCTTTCGTACCTTCCTGGAAAAGATACTGCCTCGCATCTGCCCATGAAATAGAGAAATTGCCTGCCTGGCTGCTTCTGTCCACAGATTGATCTATTTTTTCTCTTTCCTTATTTCCTTTTTCTTTCTTTTCTTTTCTTTTCTTTTCCTTTTTCTTCCTTTTTCTTCCTTCCTTCCTTTCTTTCTTTCATGCATCTTCTTTCTCTCTTTCCCTCTTGCTTTTCTTTCATTCCTTACTATTCCATATGGTCCAATTTTTAGGAGAGGATTTCTGTCAGTCAGTGTGCCTATTCTCAGTGACAAGGAAAATCCTGATCCTGCAAGTTCTTGAACAAAATGGAGACAATTTTTATCTTCGATTTGAAATAGGAAGCACTGACAAAAATTGATCAACATTCTTTCTTCTGGTTGGCATGGTGAGACTTTTATTTGTGGCCAATCTCAGAGGCAGGTTTTTGCCTTTGTAATGTCATTTATTCTTCTTGTAATTAAATGGTCACAGAACCACCTGATAAGATTTATGTGGATTCACGAAGCAAATTGACTCTCTCTCAATGGTACTGGAAATTTAGTATGTTCAATTCATTGACATTCTATAAGAAAAAAAGGAAAAGTCTGAGTCTCTGGCAAGTGGCTCCTAAACTGCATGAGAAGCCAGGTGAAGGCTTCACAGCCCCAGCTGCCGGTGGGACACTGCTTTCTCCCTGTGGCTGATAAGTCACTACTCCTATGAGGTATAGTGACTGTCAACTTCTAGTCTGGACCAACATATATGGATAGAGAACAAAAAAGAAATACATAACTTATATCTAAGTATTCATGAACCAAAAATAAATTCTATTTCTATGTTATATTTACACAATTAGAAAAATCTAAAATGAGATGGTAAAGTCATAAAATCTTTGTTTAAGCCCCACTGAAAATAAAATGAACTGATCCCTATGATTGTCATTCTTAATTTCCATGGATATTTAGAGCCAAACTTGGCTAATAAATAAACTGCTTATGCACAGAATTTAGATTCAAATACAGCATCACTGTTTGACCCAATGAAAGAGACATTTACAATCAGATCATTCCTGAATAGCCTTTCATTTTTAAGAACGTCGCTAGAAGTAACTGAACCCCAGTACAGAGGCTGAGCTGGAGCTAAAACAAAGTGTTCATACACACATGTATTTTGCATAAATAAATGAAATAACAAGACATAAAAATGACTCAAATCCGGCAACTGTGAGGCAAGCCCACACGAGTCGAAACAGATGACTTTTGTTCATGTAGTTTTCGTACAACAGTTTCACATTAGTCAGAAGTGATAAAAAATACCATTTATATCCAGTGCTTATAACACTTACGAAACAACATCTGTGAGTGTGTGTGTTTTTTGTTGGGTTTTTTTTTTTTTTTAGGCATGGTCATAAAAACAAACAAAATTAACCTGCTATTCTAAATGTTTGCCTTTGTGCAAAATTAATTACGTACAATACAATGCTAGCCATACAGCACTCTACCTATGCAACAGAATAAAAAAGGAGTGGGAGAGGGAACAGCAGAAACACAAGGAAGAGAAAGAGCATGAAAATGAAGTGAGGAGGAGAGGTATATAATCAAAAGAAAATCAGTAAAACAATAATAAATACTCAATTTTTGAGAAAAATGACCTCCTCCTCATTTGACATAAATGTACAAAAACAAAGTTCCAATCCCCAACCAATATTAAGACCAAAACATTCCTATCAGTACCTTGTTCAGCTTACAGAGAGCACTCCCAGCTAATGACATAGCCAATAATATCTTGGCTAGACCTACTTATTGCTATTAGGTATGACCTTGAGCACTCTTTAGATAAATATGAAGGTATGCTATTTTCTTCCAAGTGACAAAATGGCTCAAGAAACCTGATGGGGTCGTTCCTATGTCCTGGTGACCAGATTCTGGGTTGTCCCGAGAGTTTAACTGTCTCATTAGCTGACATTCTCCCATTGAACCACTCTTGAGGAGGCCCCTGCCATAGGCAATCAGTCCTGGTTTCAGGAAGGTCAAAATGGCATCACCAAGCTACCTGTAGTTAGGAGATGGGGAATGAAACCTCACTGCCTCCAGCCCATCAGCACATCCCCAGGGAAATCTTTGTGTGACAAGTGCAGTTGATCTTGTTCACAGGTAGGCATGCCTCCCATGTGGCCACAGAGAGAGGGAGTGAGCCAGAGGAACTCATCTGCTGCCCCAGGAGTGATCTGCTCCCCCGAGTTAACAGTAGGAACATCCCATAGAGGGAATGTATTTCCCCTCCTTCTCCTCCCCTATGATTTTCTCTCGTTCTATGAATGTGTCATGACTATTTGCCTCTATCTTTGCTTTGAGGCTGTCATGTAGCTTCTTGCATCCTGGGGATTTTTGCAAAGAACTCCCTAGGTGTGCCAGATGCCACGGCTCCCTAGAAGGTGCCTGCCTATGAGGGCCTCCTGCATGGCCCGCAGCCCTGGGCTTCAGGTTTGGCTGTGGGACTGTCCTACCTGGCAGTCACCATTATTGACCCTTGCTGCTGAGTGGCATTCAGGGGAAATGTCACCAGTGCAGCTCCTACCACTTGTTGCTGAACTGAATTAGGTGAGATTCTGGCAAGAGATTCAAGGTTCTAGCAAACTTCAGGGACATACTTGTTGAAACGTAAGACTCTACACTTGTATCCAAATACACAGCCCCACAGCCAGGTATATACTCATGTTTAAAAACGATATAGTTATTTGATAGTATCTTGTTTCAGAAATGCTTCCAGATGCTCTGGGGACATAAAATCACTATGTACATCTTTTGTATCTAGCAGGAGAAGGAGGTAAAAAGGGCTGAGAAGTTCTTCAGGGAAGGAGGGTAAAAACAAGAATTATTAAATTAATGCCACCAACAATTTTTTTTAATAAATAGTAAGTGGACCCTTGACATTCTGGAATGAATAAATTATTTAAGAGAAAATGTGTTAAGACTGAATGTCAGGGTTAAAGGCAAAGGGATAATGGATGTAGTGAGAGGTGGTCTCAGGCAGAGAAGACCACGCTGTCAGTATCTGGTGGGATGATCGCTCTGGCGTGCGGACATCATGCCACGTCACGCACTGATGGCACGTCAAGAGGCAAACACGATTGGGTACATGCACTGTGGCAACCTTGTTCATTCCTTACAATATCTTGTCTCCAGATTCCTGAGTACTTCACCATTTTCTGGAAAAAAAAAAAGTGTGGTTTGCTATTTTATTTTAAGATGCCAAAGATTGTCTAAGACTTTGCAGTATCTCCTTTAAGACTTTCAAAATATTAAGATTCAAAAGTTATGAAAAAGTTTGGCACATTCAAAGTTTAACTCTGCACATGAAAAAATGGAATTCCGAGGCCTTTTGAATATGCTCTACATGCAGCTGCACACGCTGTGGACTTGTTCTGTTTCACAATATGAAATTCTCAGTTGTTTTCTAAAATAATTCAGAATAAAAACACATTCACAACCTGTAGGCTGGCACAGCATACCTGAGTGAGAATGTTTAACCCCATCTAAAACAGTAACTTAAACCTTTATCAACATCCAAAAGAAAAAAAAAAGTAAGACAAAAATATAAGACTTGTACGACAGCTATGGGTTGAGATACGTTTTCAAGTCCTGGTGTCTCATATTTAATATGTCTTCACCTAAATTTAAAAAACAACAACAACAACAACAATAACGACAAAAAAAAACTCAAGTTCATGAAAAATCAGGGAAAACTTAATCTGTCTCACACATTACGGAACAATTAAGACCATTCTGCTGATGTAATTGTGGAGCCACAAATGCATGCGGGCTCTTTAAGAACTTGTTGTGGGGGGAGGGGAGGTGAAATGTCAGAGTATTTCAATTCGGCAAACAAGCACTCCTCAGTTGGCACTGACGGCTTCGGGGGCTTCATTTTCACTGCTATAGTCTGATTTGGGATCGTCTTCATAGTCGTCGTACATCTCCATTTCATCCTCTCCGTTAATCATCTCACTGGCCGCTAGACCCCCGCCGTCCGTCTTCATGCCGTAAGTGCTCTGGATGACCGGGAGGCCGGGCTCCGGGCTGGCTGAGGTGCTAGAGCAGTCAGACGTCATCTGAGGTGAGGGCGTGGTAGTTGCCATAGTAATAGCACCGGGATACACAACACCTGTTCCTGTGGTGATTGGAATCTGAGGCTGCTGCCTGTATAGGTTCAAAAAATAAAACGGGGAAACATCTCGAGATACGTTCTTCTGTGTGGCTTTGGAATTCATCCCCCACACATTCCAAAAGGGGCCCTGTTGGACATTCTAAGTAAATAGACAAAATGTGACAGAGGTGTTCCCTGGAGGAGGCCTGCAGATCTCCCGGATGCTATCTTTGGGGGTTAGGCAATAAAATGGAGCAATGTATTAACAGTTTTGCAGCATAAAAGCAGGGTTCTCATAACATTGCAAATATGGAAAAGCTTGGAAAAAATTCGGCATTTGGAACAAATACTGTAGTTTATTCCACAAAACTGCACATGAGATCATTTTTCAAGACCTCTCAGAACACTAAAAAAAAAAATTAGACTGGTGGCATAAGACATACTTTAATGACACTGTTAAGTAGTCTGTGTCTTCGCCGTGGTTTGAGAACTGTACAGAGGAAAGATCAAGAGGAGAAAGGACTTAGTATGTCCCAGAGTCAGATGTAGCAAAGCATGTTTTTGGTATCTGTGCAAAAGCCTATTTATTTCTGTGGCTGAACTTATAGAGAAACTCCTTTAGGAGCTTCTATTTTCCTAATTATGAAAGGATTGCCTTGAATGTCATTTCTCCCAAATCCCTGAGCCAGAGCTGGGGTTGGAGGAGTCCGGAGTGAAGGCCAGTGGGAGCTTTTGGCAGCTTAACAGAACGACACACATTGCCTCAGATCCTCGCAGGTGCCAAGGCGGGTCATACCAGAGTATTCCGTCATAATGTTAGTCTAGTTCAAATAAACTCACCAGATCCTTTACAAAGGTCAGTCCCTACCTCTGCAAGGAGATGTGGCTGTCTGTCTCTCAATTCCCTTGAGGAATTATAACTGGTCAAAAGAATTAAAGACGTATGACCCAGCTCAGACTCTGACTGAAACAATATTCTCATGGATGCTGTACTCACCAAGTGTTTCTCAATCTTTATGGACAGCAACTACAATTTAAATATATTTCAAAACGTCACTGTAACTATCCTTTCTGAGCTTCAGTTTCCATATATTCATAAAAGCTGGCTGGGGTCAGGGAAACCCTGTAAGGTCTTTTCACCTTTTAATACTCACGGCTTCCAGTCAGCCCATCACTTGAAGGATTCTTACTGACCCTCTGCGTTAGCACTGACACTTGCTATTCACCTCAGTCTAACAGGAAAATACCCTGAATCTAGAAAGAAGTAGCTTAGTTACCAGCTATTCTTTGACATATCCAGAACAAGTACAATTTTCTTAAAAAGGCCTGCATGCCTTCCAGCCTGGTAGAAGGAGAAATGAGGAAACGGCCTAGAATCACTCTGGGAGATCCCTAATCATGCTACCTGTAACAGCCTTTACCAGTCACTAGGAGGTATAATAATGATTCCTTAGCCTTTGACTACCATCATACATTAAATATTTTCATATTTACTACCCCATCCAATTAACATGGCAACCTCATAAGGTATTACTATGCCAGTTTTCAGATGAAGAAAATAGGGCCTTCCATGAAGCCCCACTTTCAATAACCAACAGAGCCAGAATTTGAACCTAGGTCACTGACTTGCATTTCATCACATTTTGTCTTATAGACATTCAAACAGATACACTATGCTCCCTGTATCTCATAAAAAGTCCTGATTTCTATAGATCCTGTGGTACTCAGCTAACACTAAGCACCTGACATTGGTCCATTTTCTATGATGCTCATGGTGATTTTTGACTGCCTCAAGGAAGAAGATAATAAAGGAATCCAAATCTATGCACAGAAAGATCTTATAAAAGATCCTCTCATAGGATCAAATTCAAAAACAGCATGCTTCTACCTCCTAAATTTGGAGCAAATTAACACAAATTAAATTTCATGCTAACTTGCCCAAGGCAGTGAATACTCATTAAATTTTTTACTGAATTTGGATAACTAAAATACAAATATTGTTTCTTTAATCACATAATGAGTGTAGAATAAAATTTTTACTGCAATATTAACCCATTTTACAGATTTTGCAACTTGGCGAGCTAATTTAGAATATAAACTCTACAAAGCATACAGAAACTATTAAATGGTATACTTCCTTTTCACAAAGGGTATTTTCTTTTTACAAAGAACAGATGGCTATTTTTGCAGTATCTTTTAATTAAAATATCTATTAGATAAATTCAAATTGAGCTCCTATTATGTGCCAGGGATAATACTTAGATGCTTTCACATTATCTTCCTTAATCCACATAGTAATAAGCCTGAGAGGGAAATCTTATTTTCTATTACAAATGAAGCAACCAATTAAGTTACAGTGAGTTTAGCTTGTTTGCTCAAGGCCACACAAGTATCACAACCAGGAGCTGACCCTTCTTTATGTCACAAATTGTCCTTGAGGGTGAGAAAGGCAAGCTCATGCTTGTATCAGCAATACTTAGTAATCTGAATTAGTATCAAACTCTTCTAAACTGGGCTCCAGGAATTTAGTGGTATTTAGACGTTAAGCTGGTAATAGAACACTAAAAACAAACAAAAACAAATAAAACATTTGTAAGCCTTACTTTCTGAGTGAGGCACATATGATATTCAAAAGCCTACTACTGGATGATGGAGAGAAACAGACTCTATCACCCACTTAATACCCTATCTACTTCCTGCCTGGTCATCCCATTCATTCCTTAAAGATGTCAGCTGCTGGCTCACTGTTGCTGTCTCTCCAACCTTACTCCTGCTGTAATTGTTGATAATTCACTATTTATATAGATAATCATTCTAACACCTTGCAATCTCGGTTTTGTGACCTCCTCCCCACTGTGATGACCTGGACCCTCCTCTGTTAGTTGCTTACTCTTGTCACACAGCAAACCTTGTCATTGCCTATTGGAGCCCCTTCCAAATCTCTGTTTTAAATATCTCACCCTCTGACCACCATATCTTATCTTTCCCATCTTCTTCCTCTAATACCCCAGTTCAACAATGCTCCCCTCATGAAGACCTACAATTCCTTGATCCTTCAACCAATTTTTACTGCCCCCTCCCTCCTCCTTGTGTCTTCACTTACTTCTTTAGCCAGTAAAAATTCTGCGGTTAATCACTCTCTCAGAGACACTCCGCACTCTCCTGGCAAAACTAACTCTGCTTATTCTGTGATTACTCCCTGACAGCTGAACTTGGCTTGAGAAAACACATTACCATGCTGACTCGTCTCTGCATTTACGAGCTTGAACTTAAAACTGGCCTCAGCTGCTGTTCAGCCGTTGTATTGTACTTCTTCCTAGCTCATTCTTTCTACTCTTCTAGTCATTTCTTACCTTCTCAGCTCACTTCAAAGATCCAATTCCTCCCTCATCCTCACTCTCCATTGATAACCTGGCTTTCCATTTCATGAAGAAATTAGAAGAACCGTAAGAAACTTTTCACAAGTTCCCACCATCACATTTATCTATCTACCTCTATCTGTGCTCCAAATTCTCTACCTTCCTACATTTTCAATCAAGTCATAATCCAATGTAAGGCCAGCCCTTTCACTTATGCACTGAATTTATCTGCTCTTGCTTAATAAGTACCTCTCTCCAGCAACTGTCTCTTCCATCTGTATTATCAATTTTCCCTCTTTCCTGAATCATTCCCATTAGTACATGAACATGCCATAACCTCTCCTTCTTTAAAAACAAAAACAAAAACTTTCTCTGTCTACAAAAAACAAACACATTCCTCTCTAGCTACTGCTCTATGTTTCTGATCTTCTTTAAAGCAAAATTCTGAAAGATAAGGTATATTCATTCTTTCCATTTCTTCTACTCAATTCCTTCTTAAATCCACATCAATCACTCCTAACACTCCTAACAGCTTCTAAAGGTCATACTACCAATGGTCTCCACATTGTTAAATTCAAAAGTCAGCCTGGTCCTTATCTTACTGACCTAGGCTATAAGCAGTATTTAAAACAGTTGATCACTTTCTCCTTGTTGAAACACTTTATTCACTTCCAAGTTACCAGACGCTCCTGGTCTTCTTCCTATGTCATCAGGTGTCCTTCTAAGCCCCTTCGCGGCATCCGCCTCATTGCCTTAACATCCCAGTATAAAAGTACCCAAGGACTCAGTCCTTGTACCCCTCCTCTACCTAAATTCATTTCCTTGGTGACCTTGTCCAATTCTGTAGCTCTAAATATTACTTATGTGCTGACAACTCTCAATTTTATATTCCTAGTTAGCACTATATTCCTAAATTCCAGATATATATGTATATATATAACTTATTTGATTTGGATGCCAAAATACCATCTAAACCTTATAGGCACAAAACTGAAGTCTTCATCATTTTCCCGTGTGCCCACTCCTCTCATGCCCTTCCTGGTCTTGGTTAATGATTACTTCATCTTTCTGGCCATTCAGGCCACTGCTTGATAACGATATTCCCCTCAGACCTCATGGCCATCAATCAACAAATCTTATTGGTCCACTCTCAGGAATATATCCAGAATCCAACCCCTTCTTGCCATTTCCATCCCTACAAACCTGGTCCAAGCCACCATCAACTCTAATGTGTTTTATCGTAAGAGCCTGACACCTTACTTCAGGCCATGTCTCTTTAGACAGCTCAACAAGGTAGATAAAGTGATCTTTTTAAAACCTAAGTCAGACCACAGTACTCTTCTGCTTATAATCCTTCAGGCCATCCTCACTCAGAGTCAAATTCACATGGCCGGAGTCTTCAAATGGCCAGCAAGTCCTTTCACAATTTGGCCCCCTGTTACCTCTCTGACACCTATCACCCTTTGCATCTTATTCTGCTCCTACACTCTGGCCTCGTTCGTGTTTGAATGGGCAGAGCACAACCTTTCCTCAAGACATCAGCACTTGCAGTGCCCTCTGCCTGGTTAGCATCTGCTCCCAGGTAACTGCCCACCCTGCTCCCTCACCTCCTCAGGTCTTTGCTCAAGTGTCATCTTCTCAGTGAGGTTTTCTAGAGTTACTCTGTTTAAAATTATATTCTGTCCTTTGAAACT